GTATGTGTGTGAGCACATATTTGTGCGCTTGTGTATGTTCACTGCCTTTTAAAACGGCCAAAATAGTGTGGAACCCTCTGTTAGACGTACATTAATTTAACCTGCTCTTACAGTTTTTTGTCCAAGACAATCACCTGCACAATTAGTGACCGCAAACCCATTTTCCTTCTTGCTTTTGTTCTGTGTCAGAATGAAACTATTTAACACATCCACGTGTGTATTAGACAATCACTTTTCTCCTCGATAAAGGGAGGGAGGCTCAGATAATTTTAACCATAGCTGTACTTTCGTTGGGGACAACTTTACTTTTGTCTTTTTTTTTCAAATCTACTTTTTTGTCTGTCCCCAGTTGTAAATGTCCACGCGGTCAGCGCTGCCGGCGAACACTTGACGTCACACCGAACAACGGCTATCTCACCGTGCCCTTCACCTGCCAGTGACGTCAGCCCCAGGGATCACGTGACAGCTCGTTGCCTGCCGGCGCCTCCACACACTCATCCCCTTCGCTACTGTTGACACCGCTGATGACGATGATGATGACGATGATGATGATGATGATGATGATGATGATGACGACGACGACGATGATGATGATGGTGATGATGATGATGATGATGATGATGATGATGATGATGATGATGATGATGATGATGATGATAGCACCAACGACGACAATGACTACGACGACGACGACAATAACAATGACGCCCTCCGTTGTGCCGCCGGTTTTGAAAAAGTGCTGTAATGAGCTGTGTGGCGATCTGACCTTCATAACTGAACTAATAAAAATAAAACAGACCTATACTTTCATACATTGTGCTTTTATTTGTTTTGTTCTGTCGGTTTTTATTTTCCTCTCCAAAATATCACTTCTAAATTTGAAGCATTATGTCTTGCAGTAAATTATCTATGCTCCTATTGACACATTATTAAGATCAGTGCATGTCAGCCGTTTTTTAGGTCAATTTTTTCGCTCCGCCTATCCACGGGCTGCTGTCGTAATCAATCCACTTAAGTCTTAATTTTCGATTTCTACACCCTCTGAGAGCTTGTGAACTGCTATTTCCGGCGTGCCTTGATAGTCGAAGCATACTTTGCGCTGTTCATGTAAGAGACGTGAGCAGAATAAGCCTGATTCCCCGTTTGGATTTCTCTGTTGTCATCCACCCCTTGGCGCTCATATTTTTATGACCTTATACAGTTGCGAGCGCCGTAAAACCTTACTAAATAAATCTTTTTAAAAATAAAAAGCTTTCTTAAAGGTGCACCTTTCATTATCACCCAAATTCAGTTTAGTGCTACGGTCAAGGTTTACAATTTTTCAAAAATTCTTTTCATGTGTCCTTACCGGTACAACACAACAAAAACTACATTTTCGCCTCTTGTGTAAAACGTACCCAAAAAGACTTGCGACACAAGCGGTATTTCCAAGTCGGACATAGAATAATATCTGCCACTTCCCTGGTCATCCCCATCCTCCACCAAAATTACTAAATCGCTTACTGGTAGGCTATGTCTTCCAGATTGGTGGGCACTGATTTAGATCAATCAGATGACCGGATGGTTCCATCCACTTTATATTGCTGCAAGGCTAACCCGAACTGTATAGGAGAAACGCCGATAGAAAAACGAAACTCGATTTTTAAAAAGTCCATTTCGGGTGAGAATCAAACCCACATCTTTTGCGCGACATTCAAAGAACTTAACATTATAGAACATACTCTTGTCTCTATGATTGTACATGTCGTGTCTTTTTCTTCTTCTTCTTCTTCTTCTTCTTCTTCTCCTTCTTCTTCTTCTTCTTCTTCTTCTTCTTCTTCTTCTTCTTCTTCTTCTTCTTCTTCTTCTTCTCCTTCTTCTTCTTCTTCTTCTTCTTTTTCTTCTTCTTCTTCTTCTTCTTCTTCTTCTTTTTCTTCTTCTTCTTCTTCTCCAAAGTATCGAATAAGCGCCCCCCCCCCCCCCCCCCGCTTATTGATCTTCAGTTTTTTTGCACACCCTCCTCCCCGGTCCTTATTCCATGCCCCAAGTTTAATAATTTACCGACAATCCTGTGAAACATTATATTTATATTTTTTTTTAATGAAACTGGTTTGTTCCTAAACGGGAAAAGTTGTCACAGTAACTTACTAAAATCACTTATATTTCGTGATCTCTAATTTTTTTTAATTCACTGAAGGAGAAATAAAACAGATTTGTTCCTACCAGTAGAGGGGTATGATGTTGAATGTGCCACCACCACCCTTTTCGTTCCACCCACACCCCCCTCGTTTATTAATTTTGGACCGCTTTTATTCCACCCCCCACCCCCCTTTTTTTTAAATTCGATACCTTAAAGTAGATCTACGTGTCTAAGGCATGGGTATAGGGGTGTATATTTCAGTCAGTGTTAATGGGTGGATAGGTCAGTTTTGCTTGAGTGTATACCTGTTTATGTTCATACATGTCGGTTTCTGTTTGAGGTTGGGTTTTTTTTATCCCCCTTTATTTTGCTTGCAGACAGCATGGGGCAACAATTAATCACAAAGCAAAAAACAAAACTTTTTATTGGCCTTGCGTAGGCCGGCTCCTTGACATTTTCTAAAAAGGGAAAGCACCTTCGAAAATAAAGTGCTTAAAATCTTAAAGGTATCAGATTTCTGCCTAAAATAGAACCACACACGAAAAGCGACCAATCTGGCACCAGTAGTAGTGATACTACCGGTGTGTCGTGTCGAAAATCGATGGCTTTACAGTACGTTTCCTAACAAGGTTTAATTTAAGAAATTTTCACTGATAAGGATTCTACTTTTAAACATGCATGGGCCAAATTTGGCATAGCAAGAGAAGAGTCTAAGGAGCGGACCTAAGATAAGAAAGGTATTTCGAATTTCCCCTCAGTCAGAGAAGTGGAATAACCAGGTTGGGTGGAACCAGAGGAGTGTTTAGCCATGTTAAGAATTAATTACACATTTTTAATACTTTTTTAAAAAGATATTTTTATTTAGCAACACAATTCGCCGGCGATCAGTTCAAACATCATGATTTCTGCTGAGAGACCTGCTTTTTGCAGGTTTAGATCTATCGTAATCCTTTCGACTAATTTTCTTAGATTTGGTTAGCAGGTGATGGGCGGGTGCTCTGGTGTTGTTTGCTCCTTCTTTCCTATCAAACGTCTTTCGTCCTGATCTCACTTCCTTCTTTATTGTGTTTGGCACTTATATGACCTCATTGTGTTGCAAGTCTGGTAAAGCTGTTACTAAAACTTTTTTTTTTTAATGATTAAATTATTTTTCTAACGGTTCTTCGAATAGTAACAAAAAGTTTCAATTTCTTGTTCGTATTTGCCGTATTGATCTGGAGGGCAGTTTGGATTATTGATCGAGAAAGTTCTCAGCTCAAAATTGCTTGACCTTTTCAGTACGAGCGAGCGGTCAGTGTTGTTGTCAGCGTGCGTGACGCACTGTGTATGTGTGTGTGTGTGTGTGTGTGTGTGTGTGTGTGTGTCCGTCACGATCTCAACGTAACCTTGGACTCTGTTTTGTTTTGGTAATTGTTTTTACGGCGCTCGCAATTGCATAAGGTCATATGAGCGCGCGGGGCACGTTAAGCTTTTTTCCAGTTTTTTAGGAATTAATTTTTAATTTTGTCCGGGTGGCGGCCGAAGTCTACTCAACTTTTTAGGACCAACAAGGGAACAAGAGATCTTTAACGTGCAAACTTGCACACGGGACCGCCGAGATTATTTCGCCCTTATCCGAGAAGGCTAGGTGTTTGATCTTACCTACTCTAAGATTTTAGATCTAGGTTATGGCTGAAAGACAGCAGTAAGAAGGAGTCAAGTAGTAACAATAGAAAGGCTACAAAAAAGTCATGAGGCCACATGGCAAAAAGGGAGGGGGGGGGGCGGGGCTGTAAAAAGTGGAGACAAAAGCAGAAACAAACAAACAAAACAAACATACAACAAAAAAAAACGGAGAAGAAAGGCACCCAAAATAAATGTAAATTTTCAAGTTTCTAGGGACACTAAGGCTTTGAAAGTCACCAAACTTTGGCAGTCATTTTCTCGCTACTTTCACCTCCGACACCAGGCCATCTTCAATAGCAAATATCTCGACTTATTCTTTAGCTTGATTAGAATTTTTGTTTTATTAAAAGCAATACAAATAAATAAGCTTGAAGATGACACCAGAGACTTCGTAAATCCCAAATCTGGGGAGCTCTTGATCCCACCGTTCGTGTCGTAACGCAATTTTTTCTGCCTCTTCTCCATTGTCAGAATGATAATCTAAGCTTTTGTTGGTTATGAACGACATTCTACGTGTAGTAAATTTGTGATATGAAATCATAGTAATGATAGCTCCCCCCCTCCCCTCGCACCCCTCACCCCCTTTGCACCCCTGTTTCATGTCTTTCTGTGTTCCAATTCCATAATAAGCACTAATTTAATATCGGTGAAGGTCTTCAGCGTGTTGATTTCTGGTCATACTTGCAGACCAAGGCGATGCTAAAATTATTGCGTGGGCTGACAATCGGCTAACTTGCTATGGTGATTTGCCAACCTATGACTATGATAAATACAACTATTTTACGCCCATTTGACACTGTATAGATCGATTCGACTATGTCTGTGAGGGCCAACCTAGAATTGTGAGAGAGAAAAAGTGTTACTGCAGAAAGATGTAGGTACCGGATAAAAATAAAAATGAAAACTCCCACTTTAAGAATTGAGCACCGATTTTGTGAGCAGCAGCGAAGAGCAGAACATTTACATTTATGTGTAAGAGTATGAGAGTGTGTATATATATATTATATAAGTGTGTGTGTGTGTGTGTGTGTGTGTGTGTGTGTGTGTGTGTGTGAGAGAGAGAGAGAGAGAGAGAGAGAGGGAGAGAGAGAGATTCTGTTATTGTTGCACGTCACAATAGATTCTCCGCCAATTAAGCAGAAAAGGTCAAATATTATGAAACGAAATTCAGGAGGCACAGCGTAGCCAGTTATCAAGCAAACAATCAAGCAGCAATCAAGCAGCAATCATACTGCAATTATGAAACTATGAAACCTCTCTCAAGATTAAGATAATGCACCATTTCGGTTTGAATGGACTGAATAAATAGGTTAACCTACTTGTCTAGGGGCTTGAGACACTATATTATACCAAAATTGGCCGCTTTTACTTATCAAATATACCGTCTAACTAAAGTATGCTACACTCTTAATCGCTGAAAAACTTATACTGACATCAATAGCAATGTTTTCGGATCTAATTGGCAAAAGGAAGCATTCTGAACAGATGTGGACGCAGTTTGTGAAAGGGAAAGGCTCCAAAGTTTTTCATAACCCTCGACCCTAATCTGCAGGCCATCATTGAAATGTCCCATCAAGTTAATGGACTTTTATAGGCGTCCAAATTTTGCCATAATAATATTATGAGAAACGATAAAGATAAGATAATACAGGGTAATTTAAAAAAACGAAACACACAACTGTACAACTTTTTTTCTGAATGTTTCGCAGAAAAATTGTTCTAGTGTGCTGTATGTAAGTTGGAACAGACATGATTAATTCAAAAGGAGTTTGTTTGATATAAAATCTACGAAGAAGAAACTTATTTTGAAAACGGAAATGACTTAACCCAAAAACGCAAAGTTCACCAATTTAAAAAATCTTGTAAAGGAAGTCGTGAAAAGATTAGTTTACTTTTTTCTTTAATTTTAGCTTTGACATTTAATTTTCCATCCCTGTAACATTTAAGCAATATTTGATTCCTTTTACAGAGTTTAAAGAGCTTACGATTTCATTCTGTAATTCCTAGAATTCTAGAAGCAGTGCTCTA